GATGTTGATCAGCTCAAACAGACGGAGAAATTCCGTGTGGAGAATCCCATGGCAGAGCGCACAGCGCAGGGAATTGCGCCGCGCAACGACGCGCTGCGTAATCCCATCCAACCGTCAGCTCCAGGCCTAATCCCACACAAATGCTCTCTCTCTCTCTCTCTCTCTCGCTATCTTAACCCCCCCTTCTGTTGAATGTCTCTTGTTAAAGTGTCAGTTTAGTTCTTGGGGTTCAGTCTCGCTTTATTATTTATCCTGCCAATTAAGAATCTGTGGATTAGTTTAATTGAGACATTCCAAGTGCAGTGATGCTAATACCAGACCTGATGATTGGATAATTGATTAAGTTACAACAAATACAGGTCAAATTGAACCATGAGGCAAAAACCAAATAAAGCAAACATAACCTACAAATGAATTATGGAATGTGTATATGCAGCATTCGCTCAGTTCCTGTTAACACTGTCTTACTCTGCATGTGCATGGATGTTGAGTGGGGTTATGGATTTGTATTGTACATTTTGCTTTGATAATAAAGCACGTGTTCAATTGTTTGTAAAGTGCTTTCTGGGGATTTGTGAAGTTCTCCTTCGGGGGATAGAAGTGTAACTACAACGTTTGACCACTAGAGGACAGGCTCAGATCACAACAGAAGAAATCACCTTCAGGTTATTTCTTCTTCTTCTTCTCATTGTTTAACTTGATTGAGGTGAGAAGAAGAATTGAACAGAAAAATAAAACAACTGAGGTGGAAAGTGACTCTGCTCCTTTCACTGGTTTCACATGTAGGGTCACAGATATAATAACAACAATAATAATAATAATAATTCACTCTTTATCAGTCATGAAGCACTGCGACTGAGAGGGAATGACATGGACAGGAGGTTAAAAAGAAAAGAATCAGAAAGTCTTCATTGTCATCATAAGTGCTGCATGAATTTAAAAGTGTTCGTTTAAATGTTGGATTTAAACGAACACACATTCATTAAAGAGAGCACCTGGTGGAATAAAGAATGTCACATAAAAGTATAATAAAGAGCCTACACATCCTAAATATAGCCATTACTGTGATTTTGAAATAAAAAGCAGTGATTGGAAAAGAAAGAAAGACAGAAAGGGAAGGGGGGGGGGGTGTCCGTGGTCACGTGTTTGATCAGTGACGCAGCTGTTCAAAACATCATCAGAGCGCGTGTTCGCTTTAGTTCCGGGCGCAGATAGTTTTTAAAACCGTGCGCACTTCACCACTCTCCCCGTCTCTGCTGCTCCTGAGGCCGCAGAGCTTCACTGGAGGGTCCGGGCCTCTGAGCATGCGTTCATATCTTAATAGTTTATGGATGAAGTTGCGTGTTTGGCACGTGGTCACAAGCCACTGAGCTGGAGGCTAATCACTGACTGTGTCTCCAGCTATGCGAGAAACTTCCATGTCCAACTCCCTCCTGAATTCTGGTTTCGCCCACAGAAGACAGGACTTTAGATTTGTGTATTAGCTGCAGCGTGTTGTCCTGGCTGTTGGCTGTAGCCTCATAAAACTGACCCAAACAATCACACTGGATATTTTTGCTCATTTTCTTCCCTGCGTAAAACCTGCGTCATCGGTGCACTGGTGTCTTTTGACGTGTCCCTGGTGAATATGTATTATTTAAATCCAAAGTCACATGCAGGAAAGGAGACCACCTACTAGTCCAGAGGTTTTGGAGCTGGTGGCGGCGGAGCTGCAATCCTTCAGTCCGGTGCGTAATAGGCACCGAGCAGCGCCGACTGGCTCTTTGACAGAAAGAAGCGAGAGAGTTTGTGAAGAAGTGTGGGAGGGTGTGAGAGCCCTCCCCCCGCCAAATGTCTGCATGGATCCACTCCTTCATAACCCAACTCCTCTCCAGCCCCGCGCACAGTGACCAAAGTGCCCAAACCAGACTGTGAATCAGCTGAAGCGGCCACCGGGTGAAAAGATGGGAGCCGATTAGATATTTAACTCTTCAGCCACTGCTTACTTTCATTCAGTGAACCGGGAAAAGCCGAATCAGTCAAACAACCTCTGGCGCAACAGCTGCTGGCTCCTACATGTGAATGTCCGCCGTTGTCCCAGCGCACTCCACGGCCGCGCTGGTGATGCTATGCCGAGAAGCCACACCGGCGAAGAGAGTGGTGGTGGTGGTAGTGGCGGCACCGGGCTCTGGCTGAAGAGCTCCACGGGACGCCGGGCGCAGGACTACGCACTGAAGGATGTGGAGTCGGGGCACAGGACGATGAACAACACGGTGCGGGTCGGCGACGGGCCCCTGTCTCCCGGTGCGGCAGGTGCGGTGGGAGCGGAGAGGAAGCAGGGCGCACGGCTCAGTTTGCTGGGGAAGCCGCTGACCTACAGCGCGCAGAGCGGCCGCAGGAACGCGCGGTACCGGCGGCTCCAGAACTACCTCTACAACGTGCTGGAGAGACCGAGGGAATGGGCGTTCATCTACCACGCGTTTGTGTGAGTGCCTACACTTTTATTCTCTTTACATTCAGCACATATAAACCACTTTACATCCATTTCTCCTCTTGGTTTGCATTTGAAGATCAGTTTCCCAGCTTCCATGTGAAACATTAACAGTAAAACATCTCAGGCAATGATTCAGCACAGCCTCAGGACGATATAACCTATCGACTGTTGTCCTCGTGATAATGACCAGCTCATTGGGCCATGGGATCAAATTGGTGCAAGTTGAATAGAGCTCTTGTTTCCAGAGACATTCACTTCCTCAGTTGCTCCTGTTGTCGAACATGTGCACCTCCTCCATCCATCCTCCACACAAACTCTCCAAATACACAAACACACACTGTCTGACTTCTCTCTTCCTCTTCTCTTCATTTTATCAAGCTGCTGGTTAAAGATGTTACTGAGCCCAGTTCATTCACCTTATGTCACAGAAAGTCAGCTCAGGATGTGATCACCTGTTGCTGCAGCCTCAGTGAGCACAAAACACACAGAGACTGAAACAGGTAGACTTTGGAAAAAATGAGCTACAGTTGTGTGTGTGTGTGTCTTTGCGATGATTATTGGTGTGAGAACATTTTGGCAGTTGTACGGTTAAGATCCGTTGACTGGGCAGTTGAACTGAAGAGGTAAAGCCCTTTCAATCCCATCACATCCCTGACTTTCAGGCTCCGTCTCTCAGGTTGGATCCAGATAGATTTTTCAAAGTTTGTGGTTTCTGTTGTTTTGGATTTTAGTCCAGTCTTTTATTCCTGTGTTTAAACGCGGCCGTAGTTCAGCTTTTAGAGGAGAGATTTCTGATGTGAAGCTTCATAATGTTGAGTCTGAGATCAGGATTCTAACCTCTATTCCAGGACAGAGTGGTTAGGCTCATGCATCTATAAGTGGTCAGGAATCTGTTCGGCTGTCAGCCTTTTAATTAATCAGCGTTCATATGCTGAGAGCTGTTGACAGACATCAGCCAAAATGTCTCCCTGGACCTGAAACACCCACATAAAGCACTGCTGTTTGTGGGTGAAAGCATTTGACTGTAAACATTGTACGGAGAATGGACAAGTCTTGGCCTGGATATCTGCTGTCCACACCGAGAGCAACAAAATATCAGACATTTCCCCCAAGAGGCTCATTTGTCTTCAGGCTATAACTTATGATCTCTGAGATTGGGGTCAGAGCAGAGCATTTAGTTGTGATGGTTAGGGGCCAGGGAATGTTTAACGCCGATGTGTATCCACACTAAGATAGACGTGTGTGTGTGTGTGTGTGTGTGTGTAAAGTGCACCTGTGCCTAAATTGCAAAACCTGTATGTACAGTATAGAGAAAGATGAATCATCCTATTAGGTTCAATCTCCTCTGGATCTTTGCGTAACACCAGAAGCTCCCACAGATCTTTGGCCTCTCAGGGAAGTTCTGTGAGCTGTCAGTGAGACATTAACTGCTGCTCCTCGCTTGCACCATCTTGAGTCTTTCATCACTGGTCTGGTGAGAGCGAGGCTCTGGGAAAAGTCCTGCAGGGAGAGAAGCTGCGTTTCTGAAATTCATAACAGCCCTCTTCTGACCACAGCTCGGTTTTTCTGGTGTGAAATTATTCCTGTGGCCCAAATTTTAGATTTTCCTTTTCGAAAAAGAAAAACACTTAGTCCAGCTTCCTCTGGCTTCATGCAGTTTCAATTAACCAATTAGAGGAGTATTGCTCACATGCATTCAGAAGGAGATATCCTGGGATCCTTTTGTCTGTCTAAACTAATAGGCTGTGTTGCGCTGTTGCCTGATGTTTGTCATCATGACAGACACACTCGCTGTTGTCATCTCCAACTGCAATCAAAAGGTGTATGTGGTACCATGGCTTGGTTTTCTGTGCCGCTCTGCTCTGCTCAGATGTGGTCGCAGTCGATGACATTGTTTATTATTCCCTCCGCAGGGGAAGTCGTGTTTTTACCGCTGTTCGTTTGTTTGACTGCATGAAAGCATCAAACACCGAGACAGATTACAATGAAACTTGGTGGAAGGATTCAGAATGAGTCAGGGAAGAATCCATTCGATTGTGGTGCAGATCTGCAGGAGGCCGACACTTTCTTTAACATTGACATTTCTTTTTAAATTTTTAGCAGATTTTCAGAGGAAAAAGCTCGGACTCTGCATGTTTGGTGCCTTTGTCTTTATAATTACATTTATTTATGTGAGCATGAGGCAGATCATTACACAGGGAGCTGGTGGTTGGTGGAGGAGGCTCTACATTATCACATCTGTGGCATTTCCTGCAGGATGCACGCTTTCCTTTTTCTCACAAACTTTCTTTTCATCACTACATCTCTATCTATGCCTGTAAATGGTAAATAGTCTGTATTTATATAGAGCTCTTCTGGTCCTGATGACCCATCAAAGCACTTAACAGCACAGTTTATATTCACCCATTCACACACACACATTCATACAGTGCAGCTGCAGCACTTTCTCTATGAGAAGGGGCAGTTTAGGGTTCAGTGTCTTGCAGGGACACTACGGAATGGGGCAGACTAGGATCGAACCTTCCGTTTATAGAGGACGACCGCTCTAACCCCTGAGCCACAGCCATATATACAGTATACTGTACTTGCGACATATGTTGGCGCGATGAAACGTTCCAGCATCAGTCTCGTTGGAAGAGGAGCGCTGTGAGAAGGAGGAAGTGAAGCTGTCGGGGGGAGGAGCCGCGATGCCGGATGCTGACGTTTTATTTGCTCAGGCGGGACAGCTGAGGTCACGGGGGTTAAGTCGTTACATCTGCTCACGGCCGCAGCCTCCCACACTTTGATCATTTGCATCAGCTGCACATTTGAAAATGTATAAATGTGTCACTTAGGCAAAATGCTCAAGTGAGACATTTCAAAGAGATCAGGAGAATCAGTTCAAAGACGTCGGGTTGTACGTGTCAATCCAAGGATTAGAGATGTTTACTGTGCCAGTGTTGACGGTTTTTAATTTAGTCTTATTTCATTTGCCCGTCACATTTTCGTGTATATGACATCATAAAAACGAGCGATCACTTTGACTGGAGAATAAAAAAATTTTTTTTAGGTTTAAAGGTTAAAGGTCAAGGTCACTGTGACCTCACAAACTTGACTCTGGCTTTTACTTAAGAATAGACGTGAAACATTTTCAGACAAATGACTGGAAAAAATAAAGAATACAATTCTCTTACATCACGACAGAAAAGTAATTTTGTGATTTTTCTGGCACTTGCGTTCTTAGACTCTTGACATTTCTATGTGTGTTCATTTGTATGTGTAATCTGTGAAGATCTTCACATCTCAAATGTCATTTATACCAAAAGTAATCTGCTTAATCAGACAAAAAGGAGTATTTGGCTAAGGAACCATTCCAGTGTCTGAGTGTGTTGCTGTCATCATGTCCAAAGTAGTATACATTAGCAACCGTGGACATTTTTTAGCCTGTAGAGGATAATTGACATAATTGAAAACAAACGGGGTCTGAGGCACTTTGCTCTGAGAGTTTAATTCATTTGGCAAAGCTTCCTATGAGATGAAATGTGTTTTAAAGTTTAAAAAGCTACTGTGGATGAGTCATATAAAGGTCTAAGGTCTTCAGACACACACAAAACACTGCAGCAGAGTGAGTGGCCTGCAGCTCATAATGAAGGCAAACTGATTCTGACTCACATCCAGAATGAGGGAAACCTGGGATCAGTAGAAACCGACACTTTTCCATTTGTTTTGATTGATGAGCATGATTTTACCCAAAAAATAAACGGATTTCCATGAATGAGACATGAGCCAAGTAAGAGGCAATGAAATTTGAGCGCAGATCAGAACGAAGGGGCAGATCCAGGAGTTTATATTCTGAGACATTTGCTGATTTCGCAGGGAATGATTAATTGGTCTTGATTGAAAAAAGGCATATTCAGACCACTGATATCTGAGTGTGCTTAATTTGGTGCGCGTGATGAAACTGGACTGCGGGGTTACTCCACCGAGCCATTCTTTCTGTGCCTGTGACCCCGGCTACCTTGAGCTTGTTATCTGCGAGCAGCTGCTCATAGCTTCTTTATGGTTATGATTTTTAGAGCTGTTTGGATTTAGTAGGTGGGCTTGATCCTCAGTGGGAACAGCTAAGACTTTACTAAGAATACTACACTGAGAAACATTATCTGTTGGTTGTTATCTGCTGGTTGTTTATTTGCCACAGTCATTTCTGGGCCCAGTGAGGTTACTGAGTTCTCATTCTTCGCTGAAGTCATAAACTTGTTGCTTTGAAACTTTTTGCAGACTTGTGTGAAATGTGTAAATGATCTTCATCCATTCATTAAACATTTTTCATGTAACGCTGCAGCAAAAGTTTGAAGTGTGTGTGTGTGTGTTGTGTGTGTGTGGATGTTTCAAATATGTATTTTACTCGTATCTGATGTGCAGTTGATGGCTGGTGATCGGCCGCAGTATGAATCAAGACACTGATAAGTATCTTGGTTTGCTTCTTGCCAAATATTGCACCCACACTGAAACACTGCAGGCATTAAGATTCAATCTCTTAATGAGATGGTGTGTGTTGGGTTAATCACATTTGAGGAAATGGGCTCCAGCCTCAGTCTGCATTATGTGCTGTACTCAGATGTTTCCTGTGTGTGTGTGTGTGTGTGTGTGTG